TTTATTCTCATGACACAGCGCTCCTTCTCTGGCTTCAAGCTGTGGGTGGTGTAGGCGTTATACCACACAGTGGTACAAGAGGAGGGGTGTGATGTACATTAATCCTATATACCAACACGTGTTTCTAAAGACACAAAGGCCACTCCAGATGAAGCCTGAGAAAAGGGGAAAAAAAGGAAGAAAGCAAAAGGAGCAATGCTGTCATTAGACTAATATCAGCAGCATCCAAGGGAAACACTGTTCAAAGGGATGTTTTGATTCCATTCAATCAAGATAATTAAAGTAGGGTTTGAAGCTGCCTGACCTGTTTCCTAACATCAAAAAATGACCAAGAGGCAGCCAGAGGTAAAGAGAAAGGAGCTTTTTATCAGTGCTTTCCCAATGACTCACCAGGCGGCCACATTTTTTTGACCAAGGCCAAAAGTTGGAGCATCAAACACTTAATTTCCTGTATTCTGGCAAGTCATTACGCAACAATCTGTGCCTCTGTGTTTTCTGCATCATTAGGAGCAAACCATGAATCAGACCATTTTCCTTAAAATTAGGTAGTTGAGCTTGAGGTGAGTGGACCCAAACACCCTCATTAAAACTTGGAAACAAAAACCCTTACGTAGGCCTTACATACAATCAGGCATCTCAACCCCCTCCTCTCCTTCAATATGATTTTTTAGGGATTCCCAACATTTATATTGATCATATCTGGTCCCAACCATAATCATTATTAGTCATAATGATTCAACCAAAAACTCTTAATGGGGCTTAGAGGCATTTCAATGGGAAATGGACTTGAGCTATTTTCTAGTCTTGTGTTCTGACTACTCAAACCGCTTTTACACCACAGGTAGCACCTAGCAGAGATTGCTAAGTAAAGTGGCCATCAGTATTAGCAAATCCCATTTACACACCCTTATACACTGCAGACGAAGCAGCAGGAGCAAATTAGAGTTAAGTGTCTTGTCCAAGGACACATCGGACAAGTGGCTGCAGGAGCTGAGGATCGAACTCCCAACCTTCCTGATGAGAGACAACCAACTACTGAGCCACAGCTGCCTAACATTTAGTCAGTTAGCTACTCAACTACACTGAGAGCAGACAAAAAAACTTTCCAGACAAGAAGACTGTCCATGGACATTGATCTGGTATTATCGCTTAGCAATTAGGCCTCTTTTCCACTGAGCAGTAACATGCATCTTTGGTGATCTGATCAAAGTGGGCAGCCCAAACTACAGGTGAAAGTGCAGAGAGAGTAATAAGAGTCCACATATGACCACCTTTATCCAAGATTTTTTAAATTGCTCAAAAATGCACAAAGCGCCCATTCTACATTTTTAAACATATTTCTGAGAGAAGGAATAGGTGCAATAGGTGGACTTTTGGTTTTCCCCAGTGCACATTGGTCATAACTGCAGTGGTGGTACGGCCTTTGCATGTGTTAATATTTCCAAATGAAAGGGAGAGCCTTGTTCCTTTTCTGGAGCTGGCACTCCTCTACCTCCACCAGCTCTGTAATTATGCTCTGATGTGTGGGGGGGGGGGTTGACACTCCTCTGTGGCAGTGACCTCAGTCGGTGCCAGGCCTCACAGACTGTATCCACCCTCACAGGCTCAAGAGAAGAACCAACTAAGCCAGATGAAGCTACTCATCAGGTGTCTGAAAAGGAATGCAAAGATCTGCTTTCTCTTCAGAATATCAATCATGACTTATTGGGAAAGGATGCCGCCAAGCTCTGAGGTCACAGATTCAAGCCCCGACTGATCCTTTATGAGCAAGTGCTCACTGGGTAGAGGTGAAAAAAACTCTCCTCTCCATGTGAAAACCTGACAGATGATCAATCTGACATCGAGAGAAAGCGCGAGACAAAAGCAAATGCTGAAATGTTGGCTTTGATCAAGTATCAGGAGGATAAAAACAGTTTTAAGAGGTGTTGAAACGGAGATATGATGACCTCGTTTGTGTACTTCAGAGTGTGCACTTGAAGAAGCGAGCAAACAAGCAGGTTCCTGCTCCGCCGTACAAATGGTTTCAGTTAGGAGAGACTGGTGCGAGCTACCGCCGAGAAGAAAGCTAACCGCAAAACAAAAGCATATTTACTTTTATGACCAACTTCAAGATTTACGGGCCCTTATGTGGAATGAATGACTGGCTCTGAAAGAGATTTATTGTCAGGGCAGGCTACCTTTAATGCGTGTCACAACAGTGAGAAGGGATTAGGGAAGAAATGGCTACCTTTAACCATACAGATTCTGCATTTACATTATTTCACTCTGTATTCTATTAACTGAATGAAAACACTTAGACACAGACTTTTAATAATCTGAGGGTAAATCATCAACTAATACTTGAGAGACAAGAGGTTTTGTTTCACTGTTTAATTCATATTTTCCATCATCTGAAAAGAAGTGCATGCATTAGCCGTTTCAGCACTAATGGGGAGCAGATGATGGATGATGGGGATTTTTTTTTCTCTCCTAAAAAACTCTTTGACCAGTCAAGATGATTAAAGGGTGGGAAGAGAAATGACATAGGCAATATAAAGTCACGCATTCAGTTGCCCAGTTGTATCCCAGCTTTATACTCTTGGCCAGAGATCCACTCTGGAGGACAATAAGAGAGGATTGCGTTATTTTGAAAGAGTATTACGTGAGTCATATTTATTAAGGAATGACAGTTTTGTGTTCACTCACAATAGAACAATCCTGACATCATTGTCAAAGTCGAATGGTTAATTTTGAGAGTTTCAGGTATTACTTAGTCATGTTTACATCTAAACAGTCCTCACCTATAGTAATCATGCACACATCTGATTGGGCGCTATTAAAGCTCAGTGTCGTGCAGTGCTGCTCAATTTATCACAATTTCATTGTTATCACTAATTGAGCACTTACAACACATAAGCAAGTATGGATTCATCACAATAAATAATAAAATGATTCTATATGTAAACAACAGTTCTTTTTCACCCAGCATTGACACGGTCCGTCATGTTAAATCAGGTCATGTTTTAAGTTTCTGTTTATAGTTTCAGTATTGTCATTTCCTGTTTTATTTTGTAATCACCCTTGTCTCTAGATCTAGATCCTTGAGCCCCTTACGCTCTGATTTTATTAACATGCATCTGGTCATCCCCTGATTGTCTGTGTATTTAAACCCTGTGTGTCGTTCCCTCATGTTGCCAGTCCTTTCTTCTTGTGGATTTTTCTTGTGTACGCTTTTTACTGCCACAGCAAGAACGTTCTCTTTCACAGATCTGCGGATACCAACAACTTGCCCCTTGAGCATCTGTTGCAGTCAGACACGGATAGGTGAGAGACAGTGAAGTAACCTCGGCGCCACCTTCTCTTTTCCTTGCAGGCTGTTGGCCTGGCGCTCCAATCTGGCTCCAATGGCAGATTACTGCAAAACTGGATTTTTGACAGTTGCCTTTTGCTTGATTCCTTTTTTGGATGTGTTTGCTTTGTGAAACTGATGTACCCACCTGGACTGCTCATTAGACTCTGCTGAACTCTGCCCTTACTAATTCAGAGGTGACGTAAAAAACTGTTTTGGATTACAGGGGGAACATGTTGCAAACACTGGTATTGTGTAAAATATTAACCTAAACTGAGTTAAAGCTAACAAGCACTCTTCAACAATCACGTGTATATATTACACTTCATATCGTTATCATGATATTGTACAATCATACATTTTTCTCATCTCTTGCAGGCCTGGTGTGGTGATTGGAGATGCTGGTATAACTTGTCATATTAGCTAAATAAATTATGTTGCTAAATCTGCCAATTCATTTATATGATTTGATTTGTCAAGCTATTAGCTGATCAAGACAGCAGTTTAGTCGTTTAGGGATTCCTTATCAGCTAAATCCAGTACATGAAACATAAATGACCTTGGAACCTCGACTTCAAATGTCTCTCTTTTTTTTTTACATTTCCTTATAAAATTAGATGGATGACTGAATACATTTACAACAGAAAATTATCAAACCAGAAAGAGAAATTCTCAGTCCAAACATTATGACATAGATCATGATCTATTCCAGCACTGGGATCTGGTACTGCAGATTTTCCTTTGTCTACATCCAGTGATAGTAAAAAATGGTACCGTCGACTCGAGAAAAAAAAACTGTTGCGTAAAGTTTTTTTTTACGAGTTTAAAAAAAACATAATTTTCCAAAGACAGGTTATGCAAATAATGAGCATGCCATCTGGCCTTTAAAATGTAGTGAGATAAGCTCCTGAGATAACTCGCTGAGCTAACGTCTAGGAGAGAACCCAAAGCCAGGAAGTAAGGCGTGTAAAAACCTCAATGTAGTAAATGTTTGTGAAACTGGTCGCGTGCTATCTGCTGTGATAATGATGGACGGATCAGTCTGTAAAGTTTGTTGTGTACAGTGTTTAAAGGGTGATTTTTGATGTTTGGTCTGAAAGTCCTAAATGTAGTAAAATATTTTTTTGTTTATGCTAAACACTCGAGGAATGGACAGTCTTTAAGGAATCACAAAATACAAACATCTTACTCAAAAATGTCTTTTGCAATGCCGAGGGAAGTAGACATATGGGCTTCCTGAGCGAAAATCTCAGCATTATACAATAAACAATTATTAAAATTGGAAAGAGAAAAGTAATTTTAATACGGAAACAATAGTCGAAGCTAATTTCTTACATAAAGTTTACTAGCTGCAAATCAGGCACATGAAGCTTTAGATCAGGCCTTCATATGGAAACATGGAAAAAAAAAAGGATGGAAAGTGAGGCAAACTTCAGTTCCAAATTACAGCAGCATACATAATAGTATTTTCCCCTGCTTACTAGAAGGAGTGTGTCTCCCTGATGGTCAATAACAAAAGGTTTTACAAGATCCTACCATCTTTGCCCTTCTGCGCTGATCTTGCAATATGAGGTAATACAAGAACAGATCATCTCAGAGCAGGCCTGGAGGATATTAACAGCGGTCCATATAAACCTTTTTCTTGGTAGAGTGTAGACAGTAAGGTACATACCTGGGACATGCTTCCAAGGTTTGTGTATGAGCTTTGCACTGAGAGAGATTCTTCCGCAGGGAGGTAAAGGCGAATTTTGGACTCAATGGTATTCAGCTGCTCGAGGTCGGAGGGCTCCGGGGTGTAGCCCTGGCCTGTGGCGACTGACACAGCATACATGTCCTCCTGGAGGAGAGCCATCGACAAATCAAATAATATCCAACGTGGTTAATGTCAGTAATCTAATTATGATTATTTACTACCTAATTATGATATCTAATACTGATTATTAATCTGTTGCTTATTTAGCATATTTGTGACCTGAAACAGGAGAGAGCTACAAGTCTGACTTCAGTCTTTACTTCAAGCAAGGTGTCGATCACTACTCCTGTGCTGCATGCAAACTATATAGTCTATGTTATAGTATACTCTTCGAAGTGTCCCACAGGAAACAACTGGAGGGTGGTGAGCTCACATTTTGAAGAGTAAAGAAGATCACAACAGTGCAAAGAATGCATAAAAAAGGTGCAAAGACATCACCAATAACAAGAGGTCTGACAACTAGGTGAAGAAAACATACATTTGCAAATTATAAAACTCTTTTGGAAGGTAAATATGAAGCTAAAGCTTAGCTTAGCTTATCTTAGCATATAAAAGCAGTTGCATGGCCCTGTAAGTCAAGCTATGACATATTTCACTCTTTGTTTTTAGTACAAACTAAATAAACAAAATAGAACTTGGAAATAGTTGAGTTTCAGAGTTACTTACTACTGTAAGCTAATTCTTTTCTGACTGTAGCTTTACATTTCACATGCCACAATTGTTTCGACCTTTTTATCCAACTCAAAAGTATTTATGCTAAGCTAGGCTAACAGTTACATTGTTGGCTATCACTTATCTGTAAAAGTTGTATTAATAATCTTAGAGTCTCTGACAAGAGACTTGACAGAAAGCAAATAGAAATATTACTATGCACACATTATTGAAAGAATCATCATACAGATGTTCTTAGATCCTGATAATGACTACTACTGCTGTTCAAGGAATTTTGTATGAATCTTTGGCCATAGATCAAAGGTAAATGTCAGTAAAGGAGATACTGCAGGATCAAAAATTTTCTACGATTACTTAGGGCTGATGATATACGAGTTTGGGTTACATGAAGGGGAAAAGGGAGCTTGTTAGGACAAGCGGTCGTAATAAAATAAAGCCAGTGTGACGCAAAAAGATAAGTAGCAACTTGTGATTGATGTGTCTTTGGGGATGCTGCCAAGACCGAGGTGAAGTCTTCAAAACTTAGAGACTCATCACTGCCAAAGTTCTGGTGACATAAATAATGGGCGTGCTATGTTATGACCATTCATAATAGCATGCTTCGCAATAACAGGAAATCTTCCTCCAGCCAGTAAAGAAACCCTATAGGATCTGCACTCCCCAGAGTTTGGTATCTGCCACCACAATTATGAAGCTATTGTTCAAAAAAGTCAAGGCAAACATCATATATAGAGCAGCAAGACAAAAAAAAACAACCTAACGGCTTATCCTACTGATGCAGAGCTGTCGGGGTCAAGCTAAACGCAATCGCATGTGAAAAGTGAGTTCCCTCTTTCTTCACAACATCCAATCTGACTTCAGACTGGCTTCCCGACTGCATAACTGGCTACAAAAGCGGATCAAAACTGACAGTAACAACATCTTAAGCTAGGATGCTGTAGGTAGGTTGACAGCAGAGAAAGCGGTTCTTAACACATCATGCAAAAAGGAAAAACAAAAAGACGCCTCAATATTGTGTCTTTAAGCTCCACACTCACAGCCTCACTGAGCCATCAGGCGATAATAGCAGGGCGATATGAAAGATCCGGGAATTTTTTCGGCTTCACAGAAACACCTCAGAGGGAATCGTTATGAAAACGTGCTAATAAAGTGAATAAAACATGCAGCGTTCCACACACATCTGGTTCATAATCTGAACTGCTTTGAGGAGACTTCTGGCCAGAGGCCGTCTCAGCTGCCAAGCATTCTCAAAACATGGATATGTGACCAGTGTTACTCTACGGGTTGTCCTGAAGTAACACAATGCATTTAATAAATCAATAAAAGACTAAATTTGACATATTGACACATATTATTAGAAGTTATACAAAAAGAGGCAGCATTGTATGGAAAGCAAATTGTGTTTAACAGTTGTCTGGAAAACAATATCTGCACACTATAAATTTCCTGACATACTATGGATTAAATGCAGTTCATATCAGGTGAAAAATGTCAGTAAAAGAAGCAGTAAATAGGATCATCTGCTAAAATGATGTCCCAATAACAACACTGGAGAAGAGAAAGTATCAAGGAAATTGAAAGAGACACACATCATAAGCATATGTTGTCTGTTAGAGCTTCATGTCGGCCTACCTCATTGTCTGCCCCTCTGGCGTTGTCTTCTTCCGCTTCGTCTACTTCTTGCAGGAGCTCTGCCAGCCGCTCTCTCTCTGCCTGGGTCAAAACCACCTCGGACCCTTCACCACTTATTAGCTGATTCATTTGGTGGGGGGGGGGGGTGAAAATCACTATTTACATTTGTACTCATCTTCAGTGGTGGCCTAGTGGGCTTAAAATATGTATTTTTCTTGAGCTTGAGACAAATATTTCCTCACTGGAAAAACAAACATTCAAGAGACTTGCTCCCAGTCATGCGATATACCTCAGCACTGCATTTTGGCCTGACGTGAACTTTGACATACCTCAATGTTTCTCTTGACAAAGTCCTTCTGTTTTTTCTCGCCTTTGGAAGCTCCACAGTGGCTGCTTTCAAATTCCCCACTCTCCTCATGGCCTACTTCAAATGATTCTGTCATGCTGTCTGGCATCTTTTCACCTGTCAGGTAAAACACAATTAAGATTCCAAGAGAGAACATTTTTTTAAGTGTGACAATGCTCTAATGATAACACTAAGCCAAGTGTGCTAACAAATTAAATAGTTTCTGGTGATGTCAACAGTGTGCTCTTATTCTGTCAACTAATCCACATTTCTTTCTGAAGGAGATTGACTTCTTAAAAAGCCACAAGGTCTTGATTAGAAAATTGTTCATGGGTTACATATTGACTGAACTGTGATGCATTCACTTCTCTGAAAGTGCTTAAATGTCTGGGTAACTGGTAACGATGTCTGCACCAGCCTTCCGGGACAGGGAAAAACACAGTGGTTGCTTTGGTAGTTGTAAGCTTGTGGCGCCATCAAGTGCACAATCTAGGCAGTACAAATGAGAGCATGTGTTTTAAGAGTATGTTTTGACATGCTGCATTTCACTAACTCACTTCGTTCCATGTATTTGCTGTCTGTGGTGTGCTCACAGTCAGGAACTTGAGTTTCAAACACAGACATAAAGATTTCCTCCTCATCTGTCCCTTTAAGAAAAAAACAAAAAACACATTTAATATGGCTCACAATGAACTCAAACACTAGACTAATAAATACTGTTTTGATCTGTACACTGTTGCCTTCACTTACCAGTGGGTGCCTCAAGCGCCAGAAACAACCTTGTGTTCAGAGCCTCATGAACACATTCAGAGTGACCTTCAGGCTTACTCTGCTGCAAAACAATACCGTTTATGTATCACTTTCACCCAGGTTAAGTAAAAAAAAATACAAATGGTAATGTTAGAGTGAATTCAAAGAGTGTGTTTACCAGGAGCTCTTGCCAAAGTCTTGCCTGAAGATCCTTCCTTTGACGCCTGACTTCTTTTTCTCTGCAGATCTTTTCAGACAACATTTCATCAAGGAGTCTCATTTCCTCAATGGCTCTCTGTAGCTTGTAATCTTCTTTCTCTTCATCAGTGAAATTTGCATGACCTAAAAGATGCACAAATATTACAATGTCTGCTTACCTCTAAAAACTGAGGCATAATAGTAATGGTACAAACCACAGACTGTACAAAAAAACAAAACAAAAAACCGCAGGCTTACCTTTGTCAGGGCCTTTGGCTGAAGAGTTGACAACAGTTTCTTCAGAGTTGCTTTGGATCTTAAAGGGACATACTGTATATTACACGTTACAGGAAAAAAAAATATCCAGTGTTGTCAGACTTATTATTTTTTATGCCAATAATCTGACTTAATTACCTGAATATCAGACGCATCGTTGGTCAAAACAACAAGGGAAAACGGAGTTGTTGGACAAATTCTGTCATGATGAGGTAAAGACACGCTGGAAACACGGCTACCTGTTTGTTCACTCGAAGCAGGTCGGGAAATATCCTCTAAACTTCCTCTGATTATTTCCATTCTGCGACTTCAAGGATTACAGCGATAAAAAAAACAACAACAACAGTTTTGCACTTACATTGCTGTTGTTTTGTTTCTTGTCAAATTCTTGTCAACAAAGAAACTTGCGAGCATTTTTCTGCCCATTCTTTTTTGGTATCTATGGACGCAAACACTCCCGGATGTTGTAACTATGGAAATATTCATTTGTTACCACGGCTACTGGACGAAAGCGAGGCGGCGTAGTTGATGTCAGATACAGGCAATCGATGCGCCTAGCTAGCCTAGCAAGCGGATAGCAAGCTAGGACTCCTCGGCTCGTTAAATCAGATATTTGATACCATAGCGAATTCAAATGTCCTCGGGAAAGCGAATATATAATTGATAAATGTCTACAGTGTGACAAAGCAAAGGTGGAGGGTTAAAGGCCGTGCTTTTGTGGCAGGTAATTTACCAAATGTCCCTTTTAATGTGTAGTTAGCGTAACGTCTAGTAGCCTAAAAAAGCTATTTTGATAGGTTGGGTAACCCAGCGAAACTAACAATAAAATATGAAGTTATCTGATCTATATCGGGTTTCTTAACGTGAAGTGGTAGCATAATTACTGTCTGGTTGTCGTCAACATCACATACGTAGCATGTAAACGCATTGTCTTATGTTTTGGCCTTGTTCTCTTGTTAGCCACAAGAGCTAATAAGGAATCTAACTGTGCGAGTAACGTTATAATAAGTAGCTTCAGGTGGGACATTTCACAGGGGTTACGTTTGATTTGTGAGATGAGATGTAATGAGAAAACGTAATTGATTCGCTATTATTGATTATAAACAGGTTTAAAGGGGGGATTTCTACTGGTTTTTTATAAATGCTAGCTTCCTGTATCTCTATCTCATAGTCTTGTCATTGTAGCAATGTCCCACAATCACGCCCATTTCTCTGGCAGCCGTCCAGGCTCTGCGGAATACCTTCATCAGACAGGTGTCCCTAATGGTCAAAGCTTCGGGGAATTGCCTTTTAAGCATGATTTATTTTATATGTACACTAATAAAAATGTTGTTTTTTTTTTCTGATCATGCCAGGTTGAGTTGACTCTACAGGGGAAGATGTGCAATGGAATGATAGAGTCAACATCAAAAGCCTTTTTGGCCCCCACCTCAGCCACTGTACAGTCCTCCTTGTTGTTGTTGGTTTTAACTGCAGTGTCCACTGGACAAGGGTCAGGTAAGTCAAACAGTGCAAAGATGTAAGGTGTCTGTGATGTATTAACCCTGCTTTTAACTGCTAAAGAAACATTGTTGAATCAGATTTGTCATAAGAACACATTTGTTGAGAGGATGATTTACTGGTTAAAATATCACAGTCAAGTGAACTGAATCATCTGGCATATGATTAATCTTAAATGAGACTATGTAGCAATTTAAGTCAATCAAACATCCAATGGTTTTAGATTGAAACCAAAGTTGAATCCAGTTCACTCCCAACAATGTGATGGCTAAAAACTAATGCTGTAAAATGTTCCATGCAGAATCATTTGTTTTGATTTGTGTTATTGACTTGCATACTATATTATTTAATTTCCTTTTTACAGCAGTTCAGAGTTGAGGGTTACGGCCCTAATTAAATACGTCAGTTCAGTGAAATTGACGTTTTCACTGTTTAAACACTTTGCTAAAGAAAAGCAAAGTCACTTTTGCTTCTTACAGAAACAATACTAGCATTGCAATGGAAGATGATGCTCTTGAGCTATTGATTTAAAGTACAACATTTACTTGTTATTATGTTCTCCCCCTAAGTCTTTCTGGTACAAAAAGTTACCGTAGGTCAGCCTGTGTCCCTGCTACTCGTGGCTTCACAGGATACCGTTCAAAACCAGGCTCAAATATTTGTGTTTTAATTCAACTGTTTCACAGATTGTTCTCTTCTTCTGTCTTTTCTTCCCAGGATGTGTGAGACCATACATGGTCCAGAATAGCTGGGTAAACCTCACAGAAACCAACAGGGGCTCGTTCCCTGTGGGCACAGTCCTGCAGTACAGCTGTGACCCTGGTTACCTGCCAGACGGACCCAGCATCCTCACCTGCACCACACTGGGACTCTGGACGTCTGACCCTCCTCACTGTATACGCAGTGGAGGTAAGTTATGCTGTCCACCACTAGCTGCTTTAAGTACTGAGAAGTGACGGTGCTGTGGGTATCTGGTGTTATTTACAAATTACTAAAGCCTCTTTACGTTAACGTATTTGTATTTTTAAACATTCTACACTTTGATCTCTGATGCTTTTGTGCCTGTTTTGCTTATCTGTAAATGTTTTGTGTTGTTTTTTTCACTATCAGCATGTCTACCCCTCTCCAAACCTGAGAATGGGGGCTATACCTGCCACCCAACCCCTTGTCGTATGTTTTCCCATGGCACTGTGATTGAGTTCTTTTGTGATGAGGGCTTCATTCTCACCGGGGACTACTACTACCTGACATGTCTGGATGGACAGTGGGACGGCCCCATGCAAATCAGCTGTGTGAGCCAAGGTTGGTCAGGCCACAAACCAAGATCTATCGAATAGGTTCATGTTAAAATGTGTAATGTCTGCCTGTGAGCTTAATAAAGCCAAACTGTTTTGCCTTTTTTTGATAAATTAGTCCAAGAGTGAGTTATCAAGCTATTAATTGTGTGAACAAGTTAGCACCAACATCCGCAGCTTCCTCATGAAAATGTTAATGTTAAGCAATTAACATTTATTTAAATTTCATTTTAATCTCTTTTTCAGGTTGTATCAGACCGTCTACAGTGCAGCATGGCTCGACTAATTTGACAGACACCAACAGGAACTTGTTCCCTGTTGGCACAGTCCTGCAGTACAGCTGTGATGCGGGTTACCTGCCCGACGGACCCAGCATCCTCACCTGCACTTCACTGGGACGCTGGTCCTCTGAACCTCCTCGCTGTGTACACAGTGATGGTAAAGACAAAACCCTGCACAGCACTCACTGTATTAATCATTTTAATTTATGAACATTTTGGATTTTTACATCACAAGACTACGGCCAGAAACAAATAAACACAACAACAACAACATAATAGTCAAACTACCACCTTTCGTAAAGAAAAGAAGTATGAGTCCAATTCAGTGCAAATGATGATTTCTATGTCCCTAAATGTAAAGATGGTCAGGGGTAGAGTCAGACCAAGATAGAGCGACGGTCAAGTGCATGACAGATTAGCAACAATTCAAAAGCATCAAAATACAATACTGTTCAACATAGCACAGTACATTACAGTGCAGCATTTCAAAACAATCGTGCTCCACTAGAGTTAAGAGACACATTTTGGTTCTTTAGTTGACACTCAGCAGCTGTGTTAACAAATATAGGCACGTTATGACGAGGTCAAGGCACATATGCGGACACAAGTTTTAAATGATTATCGAAGTCTATCACAGCCTCACCCTTTTTACATCATGATCTTTATTTTCACTTCAATTAATATTGTTTTTGTTCAGTATTTCTTTTCCAGCTTCTTTGCATTTCAATTTAATAATTGATTTGTTGTTAGAAAGGAGTTGAGTCATGAAGTGACATTTCAAGTCTATTTTCAGTAACTTTTTACTGTTTAAACAAATGTCTATATACAGTATATTTTAAAAGACTAAGCACTTCATGCAGAGCGGCATGGGTACTCACTGTATTTTGATTGTTGTTTTTTTAGGTTGTATCAGACCGTCTACAGTACAGCATGGCTCTACTAATCTGACAGAAACCAACAAGAGCTCGTTCCCTGTGGGCACAGTCCTGGAGTACAGCTGTGATCCGGGTTACCTGGCAGATGGAGCCAACATCCTCACCTGCACCACACTGGGACACTGGTCCTCTCAGCCTCCTCGCTGTGTACGCAGTGATGGTAAAGACAAACCTCCTTCTACTACTCTTCGCATTTTGCACTCTGCATGTGTGCATCATAAACACTTTTACACCTATTGTCGACCTGTACTGTAAAATAGATAAACGTTGACTGTCTTGCTTTATGTAGGTGAAAAATGTTTGTTCCTTAGCATTGCAGTTGATGTGTTTTTTTGTGTGCCTTGTTGAACAGTGTGCCAGCCTCCATATCAACCAGAGAACGGGGGCTACTCTTGCCACCCCTCCACATGTGGAAGACTCTCTCACGGCACTGTGGTTGAATATTTCTGTGATGAAGGTTACATTCTGAAAGGAGACTATAAATACCTGACCTGTCAGTATGGGGAATGGGACAGCCAAATGAAACTCAGTTGCCTCATGGAGCAAGGTAAAAAAAAAAAAAAAAAAAAAATATATATATATATATATATATATATATATATATATTGGTAAAACAAGGGTACTTTTGATGAGAAATTACAAGTTTTATAATTATTTCTTTATTTCCTCACAGACAGCGATCCTACTCTACCACTGGGGATGCCCGCCTTGTCCATAGTTGCATCCACAGCCAGCTCAGTGGCTCTAATCCTGCTGCTGGTTGTGCTTTTTGTACTTCTGCAGCCAAAACTCAAATCCCTCCATCGGTGAGTCTAGCCTCATATCAATCTCTCATATCAATCTTTTTACTTTGAGTCCCGGGCTTGTGTCCACATAGGGTTCTTTTCAGTCAGAGAATCACCAGAAGGACTCCTGGAAGTGTTTGGAAAAGGAGCTTGCACTTTGAGAGAATAACAAAAGCATTTTGTTTTATCACTTGAGTTTTTGTTTCTTTGATAGTTACGTATTGACAACTGGTTTTGTATGATCGAAAACAAAAGACAGGGATTATTATTGCCCTGTTATTAAAGAATGGTTTCTTTTCTCTCTTGCGATCATTTTTGTCTGACATATCGTACACCTCAGGATAGATGGACACAGCCATAAAAAGCATCCCTTACATTTAGCGGTTAAAAGGAATGATTAGTCTTACTTTATGTAAATGGATGTGTGTAAAAGAGCAACTGTGACAACTTCAGGGCCTTTCTTAAATACAGAGAGTTTCAATTAGAAGCTTTCAGCATTTTCTGCAGATTAGTCCTTCAAACTAAGGGCTCTGTGTTTTCCTCTCAGCACGCTGCCACATTTGCCCTCTTCTGATGGGGGGAAATAATCAACATCAAAGCTGTGGCCTGAACAACTCTTTGTTTACACAAGGCAATATACAAATATAACATAGAGCTATTATAGGTTCTTTACATTGAGCACTCTATTCATGAATGCTAAAGGTTAAGGGATTTTAATTCTCTGCAACCAGACGTGATCCTGGTGTGACGGGCCAACCCATATCCATCATGGTGGAAGGAGTCCAGGTGACTCTGCCCTCATACGAGGAGGCTGTGTGCGGCGGCGGAGCCTCAGCATCAACTCTCAGCTCCGAGTCTCGAGTCCAGATCGTGTTGTCCGAGGGTCAGCATGCCACCGCGCCAGAGGCTGGCCCCTCTCGGCCTTCTTCCCTGAAACAGCAGCAGTCAGAGATGGCTGTTGTCCATCCTATACCACCCTCCTCCTCCTCTTCTTCCCCATCACCCTCCCCCTCATCCTCCACCTGGGTACTGGAGCAAGTAGGTGCTGCTGCTCCTTCTTCATCACAAAGAAGGCGCTCTGCAGGCAGCGAGCAACACAGCCTGTCTCTGGACTCTGAGATGGACTACTCTGATGGTAAAACCCTCTTCAGATTCATTTGTAGTGTATTTACAATTTCTACTTAGTACTGATGCTAATGTTGTCTGCTGTCTACAGAGATGCCATTGTTGAAGGAGGCCTGAAAAATGCTGCAGCCTTTGAACTTCACAGAGACAACCAGCAATGCTTCTAACCTGAGGGGGGAGGCCTTGTGAGATTCTTGTCAACACAGCTGTCGACACAGAAGAGTCCGACATACAGTAAGAGGCTCTGAGTGAAGCTTCAAGTCCCATCCCAAAGGAAAAAAGAGAAGAGATTCACATGTACATACATGCTTACATTTTTTACAGGACTTCCTACACTATGTATGTCTAATGTCTGGAGCTGGATTTGAAATGTAGAACATAAACATAAAAGAATCAGCATCACTGAAAGAGTTTGGAATGAAAAAAACGGTGCGGGCGAAGCTGCAAACTGATTTGTGGGAGCTTATAATCTCACCAGTGTCTTGATAACTGTAACTTTTAATAAACCACATATCACACCATTTAAGACACATTTGCAAAGATGCATAAAGTCATGTACACTTTCAAAGATTTTTGTGATTATAAATTATATTTAAGATGATTTCAACCATGACTCGCATCATGTCACATGCCACTGTACAGTTAAAAGCTGTTTGTCCATCCAAGCATTAACCCTTTTTTTATGTAATTGTGGGCAAACTTTTATTTTTTAGGAGACTTATTGTTTCACACCTGCATTCAACACATTTTCTCCTTTCAAAAAGTCTAGAAGTATTATCTTCAAACACACACCTGCTCCCTATGGCCTTAGCTTTCCACTTCTATGCACAAGGATCTATAACACGTGAAATGAGAAGTTTTCAAAATGAATGTCAGTTCAATGCCTCCACTGCTTAGTGATTCCATGTGTGGCTTTGTCAGACACGTCACTTGTACAATGGGAAATATTATTCTCTTAATTTATGCAGGCTGCTTGGATAATGTATGTTTAATTTATTTGTGTCCGGAGTGCTGTTGATCAGCCATGACTTCTTTTGATGCTTCCACAGCTCTTGGTGGTCGGGGGGGGGGGTCTTTCTTCTTTCTCTGTCGCTTTAGTTCTGATCATTCTGCAGACACGTTCTATGTGGCACTGTAAACATGAATGGAAAGAGCCAACACAAAATGAGTAAGTGTAGATATAAATGTAAAGTCGGTGTTCACTTTGTTTGACTGTCCATTGAATTCACTTTTGGACTGAGGAAGGGATTTATTTTAATAGCTGTTATTTTAATGTATGTACAAAGTTCTAATTTAAGTTTACTCTGTATATACCATCCTGTGATTTTGATTAAATATTATTTGACGTGTTCAGATTGCCTTTTTTCTTTAGATCCTCATAGCCTTTGAATCTGAAGAATGTGCGACTTTTTGATCCAGGAGATGTTGCCCCTGAGCACCAACATTAAACCCAAACAAACAACAAACTGCTGTTAGGTGACACCTCGGCTATTCTGAAGCCTCCGCTCTCCTCCAGCGACACACCTCCAACCCCTCTCCACTCGCGACCGCATAAAGGAGTTAGTAATTAGAACGCACCATAATCAAGCACTAACCGCAAGTAGTGAACAAAATTGTCCTTTGCTCGAGCTGCAATTACCTGTGGTCTGCATTGTTGTGTTAGCAGGCTAATGTTAGCACACGTTAGTTAACTCATAGCTTCATATTGCACTTAAATTGACACAGAATGACCTAGTCCTTGACTAAAACAGATTTATACACAATGCCGTCACGTCCGAGTCTCGCACTTTTCTCTCATAGTAGACTGACCTGACTCAGAGAGATATTTACAGAGGATGTACTTGATTTCTCCTGAATTATTGTGTCAAATGTTGCAAGTGTCTGCCTTTAAATACGTTTTCATGTATTTAGTCAACAACAAAACAACTCTCCAGTCTCAAGAGCACATGACATGTCAATAGAATTTATTTAATTAAATTATTAATTTATACATCAAAGAACATTATTCTGAAAATTAATGAATATAGCCTTATATCACATATACTCAGTAGAAAAAATATACACATCGTTATTACTTTAAATCATTAACTTATTACTTCATTATACCCTACTTTACATTGTCTAGGATTAATAAAGTCAATTAGAACTACTGTTTGCACATGCTCTATTAATCATACTCTATTAATCTTTCCTGCAGTACCCCAGGCCTGAGTGATCAGGGTGTGACGTTGATATTTATACATAAAGACATAAAGACAGTGAGGTGCTGCATCTTCAAAGGTAGGCAGCTCTTCTTGGTCTCATCTTCAGCACTGGTTCGTCTTCTGTGATGCTCTCTTGGTTGATTGTCTCCCCTGTGTTAAAGCTCCTGTAAGGTGTTTTTGATTGGTTAGGAAACAGACAGAAATGAGTACTGATGTCCTACAAAAGCAAACAAGAACATCAGCGACAGTATTTATAGTTTCTTTAGTGTAGTTTTTAATGCCTGAAATCACTGCCACAGAGTGTGTGTCAGAGGTGGCGATTGACGAAACAATCTTTATTTACATTTTTTAAGGCAAAAATGAACTGAGAGATTAGTTTGACTGATAAAACTGAAGATGATGAGATATTAGGTCAGACATTATTACTTAGGCTGAACACCAAACTTGACACTCACATACTCAAGAGATTTTGAGAGGTGTTCCGGTAAGTGTGTGAATGCTTAATGCTGTCCCATTGTGATATCATTAGGTGCGTTAGGGCTCAGATGGGGACTTCTCAACGGCAAATGACACTCATTCTTTGAGTCTTCATATGTGAGGGTTTCTGTGTGGGAAGAAGAATGTCAACATTAGACTCTCTTTGATCTAAATTTGAAAACCAACAGCTACAAATGTGTAGAGAGAGTGCACATGTGTGTCTCACCCCTCCCTCCCAGCCTCTCTCTACACAAACACACATGCAGCTGTGACATTTACCCTTCGCTGGTGGCTTGAATCTTCGGTAACATCTGAAGCACAGCATCAGCAGAATGCCCTCGGTGACCTGCAGTATATAGTATATCAGAGGGAAGAGAAACAAGGCTCCAATGGTCTGCGGGGAAAATGTCACCCTTAGGATGGCAAGGCACAGCTGGATGTTTTGACATCCTGTTTCCATGGCGATGGTCCTGCATAATCTAAAAAGGGGGGGGAATAACTTTTAGTTTTAGTCTTTCATAAATTCCACAAGAATTCTTTAAAAATGTGCTTTGTGATATTATTACGGGACATTTGTGGAGGAAGAATAAGCGTCCCTTAGTTATGCAGTAACCAAGTTAATCAATATAAAAACACATTCTTTTGAAAATTCAATGTAAAAATTTTTATATTTCTATCCAAACATATTTATTTATTTTAAACTGTATTTATGGGCTTTTTGGGCCTCTATTACAGAGATAGGAAAATGGATAGAGTCTGAAATCAGGGATTGAGAGTGTTGGAAATGACATGGAGGAAAAGAGCCACAGGTCGGATTCGAACCGGGGCCGCCCGCTTGGAGGACTATAATCTCCGCACATGGGGCGTGCCAACCAACCACCACGCCACCGGTACCCCATCCAAACATATTTACAATACAAAAAGTTGAAGTACTCAACTCATAGTGCTATGATAGGGGCTTGTCCAGTGAATGGGCAGGGCCCCAACACCATTACCCTTAACTATGATTGGATATCTGCCTGATCAGAGACCTGAGTTTTATTAAATTGCCTTATTTTTGTAAAAGGATGCAGCTCATTCTTAAAAGACAGCAGCTTTGGGGCGCTGGTGGTGCAGTGGTTGGTGCACGCGCCCCATGTATGGAGGCCGTGGTCCTCAGGTTCAAGTCCAGCCTGTGGCTCCTTTCCCGCATGTCATTCCCTACTCTCTCTCCCTGATTTCCAGCTCTATCCACTGTCCTATCTCTTCATTAAAGGCACAAAATGCCCAAAAATAAATCTTAAATAAAAAGAAAAAAAGACAGCCGCTTTATCTATTTTGGCACTCCGTTGTGTTTCGAAGTGCATGGCTGGCTTGAAGTTAGTGTGTGCACACAAACTTGTAAAGCCTTTACCCTTTCTGTCTTCAGCAATCACATATACTTTACATACGTACATTAAAGATTTATACAGAAGTTATGTGTCAACATATGAATCTTCTGAACATAATTCCTTGGGGACTCAAAAAGATTTCCAAAGTCAAAATTAAAAGTACCGACAAAAGGAAATGTGCTAACTTTAAATGCAAAGAAAGTTACCATAGAAGCCATGTTGCAACACAGCCAAAATAGTTGTTTCACAAAAGCCCGCATTTGACCAGGCAAATTGCCAATCATTGTTTGGGCTTTTGGGGTTGCACAGGGTTGCCAAGCAGCTACAAAGCTTTCGCTTTTATCTTTTCGTTACTATACCATACTACTTTTACTAAACCATACAACTGGGTAAACTAGAGCAGAGAAGACCATCTTCTACATTTTATAAGAAGTTCCTGGGACACAGCAATGGACTGGCTTTATTCGTCAGTTCAAAGATAAGGTGTATCTAGTTCACTTACTGAGGACTTTGTCTACATATGACAGACATGCCATATCCCATTATAAAGCCAGTCATGGGCATCACCACAGCCACAGTCATAATATCAGGTGTGACGATCATCCACAGAATGTCTTTGACGGTAAAAGCAGACATTGGGATTATTATGATGCCACAGATCACCAGCAAGGTCAAGCCACCCTGTCAAGGAAGTGAAACAAATTTAAATGTAACAACTTATCTACTCCAATGTAACATATATATCAGTATCAAGATATGACACTTCACACTGCTTTTCTACTTATAAATGTAGCAGACATCATCTGGATGTATTCAAGGATAATGGATGTCCAATTGGCCTTTCTTGATAACATAATTATCACTGGGACACTTAAATATACAGATTTGAGCCAAGTAACAGTTAAACATGCCAATTTCTGCTGGAAGAAAAAGATCTAGGTAAGATTTCAGGAGTCTCACTTTTTTGACGATGGGTGTGTACTTTGGTTTGTAGTGATTAATGGCGATGCCAATGGAACAGGGCACCAGTGTCAACACCAGAGCAGTGATGATGCCGATGTAGGGTACAGTAGATTTCAGGCTGGGGAAGCCTTTACTATAGATAAAGAGCAGCAGGGGCATCATACCCAGGGCAGCAATACTGGAGAAAGTCGTCATCGTGATGCTAACAGGGTGATAAGAAAGATTATTAGACTGATGTACCAAAAATGATTTTTTTTCAAAAGCTGCATGCAAAAAAAAAAAAAGTCTTTGTTTCATAGGAACATGTTAAAAATCAGCGGTATGAAATCCAACTGTTGTAGACATTTGGAATTCCACAACGAGACAGGCAATAATGCATCAATAATGGTTCACCTGAGGTTCATGTCTCCCTCTACAGCCAGGGTAAAAATGTTTGATAAGGACCCCCCCGGGCAGCAGCCACAGATGAGTACAGTCACAGCCTTGGAAGAATCCAACTGCAGCATTTTGGCTAAACAGAAGGCAGTTAGGGGCATGATGCCAAACTGTGCCAGCATTGCAATGACTACTCCTTTTGGCTTGAGGCAATGGGCTTTTATTTTGGAAATCTCCATCGTACAGCCGAGGGATACCATGGTGATGAAGAGGACGGCCACGGTTAAGATATTGATGATGCTGTTAAACAAGCCGGGTTTGTACAGGAAAGCAAATCTGACATTGCCAGTGACATTTGCCTCGTAAGAGAAATTGGCTGATCCATTAAAGACCGAAGTCATGTTCATCATGGCACTCATCTCAGCACAGTGTTCACTGTGCGGCAGCTTTCACCTGTCACACAAAGCAAAATAAGTACATGCATATCCAAAAGTTTAGGTGTTCTGAGGTCATTTAAGCACTTTTCAAACATTAGTTTTGGCTTTTTTTTGTTTCATGTCAGTGTTTTGAAAGTAAAGCGTCAATTATGACACATCCAATGATGGTTGTTGGCACTTGGACGGTATAAAATTGTACATACATGGCCTCTGGTTTCCACACTGAGGCTTGTGCAGAAGAACCTGGATTCTTTCTAAGGGCAAGCAGGTGGTGTCTCCTGTGGTTGCAATACGATATGAGATGGTATAGAACTAGATGAGGTAATTATCCTACTCTTCAGTTCAATCCTAAGCAGACGTTTTTTTCTAAATAATTATTAGTCTCAATCCCCAGTTTCAGTCTATTGAAATGCAGCATAGTGTTTATTTAGTCATTAGGTTGATGACTATTAATGACCTATCTTGGCACTGATGGGCTTGTTCGCGTTTGGAGGTCATATAAAAAGCATTGCTATTGCCAACTAAAGCGTCAGTGTGTCAGTCCTTTCCTGAAAATGTTTCATCAAAGTTCAATAACTGATCTACATGTCTTCTCTGATGTGTTGTTTTATAGTTACACAGTAGCTAAAGCCAGCATGGATTAGTTCAACACAGGAAAAAAAATGAAATGCAGCTCATCTTTTCACTCAACATTTATTTTATTTATTTTTTTATTGAAATTGTACTGTGTTCACTTTTTGTTTGCAGTCTTTGCTCTTTGCTGCTGTAACAATAAAAAATTGCCTCATTGTGGGATAGATAAAGGATTATCTTATCTTATCTTATCACATTATTCCCTCAAAGAATGTGAGGACCACGTCATACTTCTTCCTTCACTGTTTTTTTTTTAAATAATATGTTACTGAATGATCTCGATGTTCGCTTAATTTATTATTTCACCTTGAACAGGTTGTTTCATATGGAAGAGGATTAGGGCCACGCGTAAATATAAAATAGAGTTCTGACTTTATTCTCAGAATTCTGACTTAAGTCAACAGGCCATTTTTGTTTGATTAATTCATGCACAAGCGTGAACGTTTCCAATGACGTTGCCTTATTTGTCCTAAAATCTCTTCTAAAAAAAGCTCTTCAAGTGTGTTCAAAGAAAAGTTCCAGTCACCTTTTTTTTTAATCCATTAGGCATATGCAGATACTTAAAAGCCCTCAATTTAAGGCTGCAGCAAATACAATTATTTTCATAGTATAATAGAGAGTCAGATACTTAAGTACAAATGCAAACAGTTTATTCAAATATCAATGGTTGAGTAACAAGAATATGTCTTAATCTGTAGGTTTTAACCGCTGCTTCTGTGACTTTATTTGTCAATCAATGGTGACTTAAGTCAGAATTCTGTAGTTTCAATATCTGTGAGGGAAAACTGTATAATGTTTAACAGTCAGATAAAAAAAAAAAACTAGCTGTACTTCAAACTACAGTTTGTTTCCACAGATACACCTTTTAACTGTTCCTGACTCCCTGCTACATTTCTAGCAAAATGAATGATATCATTGATCAGTACTGATTGGTAAATACTGCACTAGCTGGTGGTCACAGAGCTATCAGTTTTCTAACACCATTGATTGACAAATAAAGTCACAGAAGCAGCGGTTAAAACCTGCAGATTAAGACATATTCTCGTTACTCAACCATTGATATTTGAATAAACTGTTTGCATTTGTACTTAAGTATCTGACTCTCTATTATACTATTAAAATAATTGTATTTGCTGCAGCCTTAAATTGAGGGCTTTTAAGTATCTGCATATGCCTAATGGATTAAAAATAGGTGACTGGAACTTTTCTTTGAACACACTTGATTGCATTTTAGAAGAGATTTTAGGACAAATAAGGCAACGTCATTGGAAACGTTCACACTTGTGCATGAATTAATCAAACAAAAATGGCCTGTTTCTTTATGTTTTTAGATTACATGGAAGTTCTACTTGATGGGGATAAGCAAGCCAAGCCTACATAAAAGATGATACTGAGTTTATTTTAAGTTCATTTATTGGAAATTGCTGATGATATTAAAAGAATGAATAATATGCATATTGAAATGATAGACAAAGTCATAAAATAAGTTTCTTACCTTGATTTGAGACCAACTTCTGCAGCTTCACTGTTTTCACTCACAAACTTCTTTCATTCTCTCCTCACATTCTTGTGTCTCACTCCTTTTCTCTGTGGACCACTGTGCCCTCCCCACTTTGTCACATGGGCTCATGACAACACTGAAGGTGTAAACACAGCACTCTTCCCCTGACACAAACCCCTGAAACCATGTTCTGGAACTCCTTACACAACATATCTTCTTCTCCATGTGGGGCTCAGTATTATTGGGAATCCTGCAGCTTTACAGGAAGTCATCCTCGACCCCGATCCATTGTGAGATGCTCGCATGGTTTCTGTTTTTCAGGGCACCGTGGGAAAGCTGGGTATCGGTGGGCTGGTATAGTGTGGAAAGAATGTAACTGCCTCTGTACCCCTAAAGAGGCACTTTATTCATTAGGGCTCACTTGCATGTGTAAACAGAGCCTTCAATTAAAATTATGCAACCGGGCAGAGGGTGCAGTTTGCCAGGCAGAGTTGTCAGTCCTTTCAGAAAGGGGCCTTTTTTTTCCTGTGAGGCTGCTTTGTAAAGCGAGTAGTTTTATTTACAAGTCGCATAATAGATCAGATGTTAGACAAGGCTCGAAAGTTGTTGCTGTTATTTTAAAAGCATGGATGGGATAACTTAAATGCATGTCACATGCTGACATTCAGTGGAATCTTAAACAGGAAAAAGCATTCTGTAATCTGCTGCTTCTACATAAGCCTCAGTAAAAAGTAACATAAAAGCATTATTAATACAGTTATGCAGGAGTGGATACAAATGCATAAGAAACCTTTTTCAAATAGCAAAGTAAAACAAAAGAAAGAAAGAAAATAGAAGAAACTAAAATGAACCAGTCAGAGAAAAGTGAATGCCATGATGTGACGCCTTAATTTGGAGATAATTTCATGTATTTTATGATATTTTTCAATTTGTCACTAAAACTAAGATTGTACACTGTAAGTATGAGAAGAATAAAAGACTGGAGAATCAAAAAGAAAAAAGAAAAAAGAATTGACTGAGGACAATTCAAGCATTGTGCCAGTTACAGTATCACTGTGTGCTTTTAAATAGCGATGTCAGTACTATGACCGCTTAAAAAATGTTTTTCTCCGGGGCTGAACGAGTTCTTCAAGACAGACAAAGTATCTTGATTTGTATCACACACCGAGCAGTTTTTTCGGTCTAAGTTTGGTGTTTACATTTTTGCCCTTGTTGGAATTTTTCTTTGTGTGGCTTTTTTTTCGTCTTCTTTTGTGGGACTGGAGATAATGAAGATTGTATGTGCTGGTATGGTGTTTCTCTTGAAACCCTCTTGTTAAGCATATAAATGAAATGAAATATGAGATGATAAATTGTGCACTCATATAGGACGTATTTTGGACGTAAAATAGCCAATGCTCAGTTTTGTGTAACATACAGTTGAAGGCAAATGCAATTCCTGATCATAAAGTAGCCTTGAATCTTTATAGCACAACCTGTACTCAGTTTATAAGCAGTGATAGCTTGCTGCAGAAGCTATTTAAAGGCCCTGTGGAGGCAAGTGTACAGCCATTGATGGTGAGTGGGGGAGGGCAGCCAAAGTGAGCTAGGCCACCATATGGCCTCATAATCATATGCTGAGAGAAGAAGAGACTCGGTTATTGAAGGTCACTACCCGGATGCCAGAGACCACACAAACAACAAGCTTCCAGCACAGAGCAACATGGACCTCAAACAGAATCACATTTACATGGAAGAATTATCTGCAGAGAATGTCACATCAAATACACGCATGTAAAATATCTATTTCTGATTGTTTCACGCATAATGAACTACTGTGTACAACACAACACATTTCCGCAACTCCACATTCAAAACACCGAAGGTTGCTGTGGATGCTGTGTTTGCAACTTGTAGGCGATAACGGTGTCTATAGGTGGGCGCTTCCAAAATCAGCATGCTTTGTGGGAAATGTAGTTCAAACAAAGAAGGCGCATCACCGGGTCGAAAGCGTTTGGAATCTTGAAAGTGACTCCATTACCCATAAGGACTCATTCTGTTACGCCTGCGCTGTTAATGTTTTCCCGTCCATGTGTAGGCGAATCACGTGTGGAGAAGCCGTCGCTCGTCATGTTTCTGCTGTAGCGAAGCTCCGTGCTACATTTTATTTGCCCTCAGTTGTCGCTGCACTTTGTTTTGACAGCTGCTTGTTTTTTTCCTCTCCCCCTCCCTCAGAGCTTTTTTTTTTTACCGAAGAATGAGTGAAAACGATGACATCGAAGTCGACAGCGATGTACGTGGTTTAGTTTCCTCTAGAATTAGCTAGGCAAAATGTTAAGCCAACAGCAACTTTAACATTCATGCCAACCTGCGCTATCAGATTGGGCTAGTTAGCTTTGCAGGGTCCTTTTTTTTGGCTAACATAGCAGACACATAAGGAAGTGAGCTGTTAGAAGTGTTGTTAAAGACTGTTTCCACGCTGGCTTTTTATAATGGAAGTTGAGTACATTAGTCTGGTGAAAGAGACATGTCGTTTTACTTCGTAGAAAATTGTAAGATGTGGTTTACAGGAAACATGTTGGAGCAAGACTCCGTTTAGATTCGTGTTGCGCAGCTGTTCGCGCAATTACGTTACGGGAGCTGACAGCAGCCAAAAAAAATGATGGATTATTAATCGCGTAAAGACCTAAAAGACATATCTACTAGCAAATTATTACTTAAAAGATACTAATTTGAACTGCCTAATGTGTCCAGTTATGTAACACGGAATGAAATTGATTCACCTTTGCAGATAGAAAACAGGAAATCACCATTTTTATTTAGCAATCAGAAAACTGGTTGCATAATGGGTTTATTGCGAATCCTAGTGAATTTCCGCTTTGACTACTCTCGAGCGTAATCGTAGGCAAAATAGTTGCCTACTTGCTTTTTTTTTTTGTCAAACTACCTGCACTTTTCTTTTTCTAAAACAATAATTATATTGATTCTTGAGTCATTTCGTGGTACAATCAAAATAAGAAAGTATAAAGAAAGTGAGCACGAATCCAACATGTAACTTGCGACAAATACTTGCTTCATATTTGAACTCTTAAACATCGGGGGTTTTTTTTTCTTCAGATGGTACAAATATTACAATAATATAATATCTCATTATACTGCAATGGTGATATTAATTTAATTAGAAATGGAGTATACACTCATTTTACTGCACATTTTAAAATGTTTTAATGCAATCTGCTTCCATTATGACACATAAGTCGTTTTTTAAATTTTTTTATCTGACAATATTTTAAACAAGACACGTTCTTAGTGTTTTTGTGTGTCATGTGTGCGCAGTAAATCAGGCACAAATATTAAGCCAGAGACTTTAAACGTCCATTTTGGCCACTCCGGGTACCAGTGCCGTAATTGCACAAATAAAAGCGCCAGCAACCAAATCGACGTCTCACTTGGCCGTACAGTCAAAATAGAAACACTAGAAACGGCTGCGTTAGGGTTTTTATTTTATGTTTTCCCCGATTAGGTTCCTGCCATGTTCGTCTGCTCTTTCCTTGCGAGTCCTTTTGGAAAAAACGTTCTCCTACAACGGGAACCAAGCGGTGCTGCAGTACCTCACATAACATGTGATACATATCTTTTAAAGTGAAACCTTATGGTCTGTCCGTGGTAATAAGTATTCTCCGTGGTTTACAACTCAGCTGCATTTAAAAGACCAGTGTGTTAAAACACTTTTCACATGAAATTGTGTCAGATCTTCGAGCTGGTCACATATTTGTCAGCTATGGATTCCCCTCCCCCAATTTGATTAAGCTGAGATCTCCAGCTTTGGAGCTTTGGAAACATACTGTGTACTGTCAGGCCTGTTTACCCTACATTTATGGACTGATATAACAGGATAGTTAAACAAACAGTAAAAGAACATAAAATATAGTTTTCTTGACATGCAGCAATTGCTTGACATAACATAATTGCTAACACCCAAATGCATATTTTTTGTATGTTTGGCATAAATTACACAAATCTGATATCTGAAGCTTCTGTCCACGTTGTGTTCAGTTTGACGGAACACTGTTGTTGCTCCAGTTTGAAATTTAACAATGGCGTTTGGAACATTTTCCCTCCAGTCTGGAATTCTTCCTGTCCTCCAGTCTTTAACTTGGACTGTGTTTTTTTTCTGATCCTACTCCTCGTCTGTATGAGGTGCCCACCTCAAACAGCATCTAGCTTTAGGCTGAACTGAGTGACTTCTGCAAAAGTTTAGAGGTAAACTCCTGCACGCTGTCTCTGACTAATAAATGTTTGTTTGCACGTTAGAGACAGTGTGCAGAAGTTTACCTCTTAAGTCTTTGATGGACACGTTGCTCTCCTACGCACTTGTCTTACGAAATGGATGTGGCTCGTTTTTTTTTTCTATTTTGACTTTTGCAAAGCCACAGCATGTGCTGAACAAGTCACATGTAAACGCTAACAGTTTCTACAATAGTTCCATTTCTCTTTTATTCTATCGGCAAAATGACATCAAGATGTTAACAATGTTCATACCACTACGTATTATGTATGCTTGCAATATAAAGTGGTTGCAGATTGCAGCTTAAGACGGATCTCCTTCACCTGCTGAACTCATCTTTGAGTCAAGTAAACGTGGGTTTCATCATGTTCTGTGTTTTCCTTCTAATCATTGCTGGTCCCTTTGCAGGCAGACAAGCGAGCACATCACAACGCGCTGGAGCGCAAACGCAGGGACCACATCAAAGACAGCTTCCATGGTTTACGAGACTCTGTGCCTGCTTTACAAGGAGAGAAGGTGAGGATTGACTTGTGATATCTCTACCAGTCTTTTTTAAGTGAACGCTGTTGTCATGACTTAGCTAATTTCTCACATGAACATTGTCGGAGTAACATTAGCATTTCTTCTCCTGATGAGTATATTCCAAATATAATTCAGCTGCATAATGTTCATGTGTGAATCTAAAATGTTGATTTTCTCCATAATATCTAGGAATCATAAAAGTAAAAAAAAAAAATTACATATGCATCATAGTGAAACTTACACTGGCTGGATATCTTTCAAAGTCAATGAAATGCAGCTCTATTGATGTGGCGGCTGAGGTTGAAGAATGCTGCACAGAGACTGAGTGGGCCTGTTACTGTCACTCTTTCTTATAAAAAAAAAAAAAAAAATCAAATTCAAAGATATTTTGTTAAGTTTGTTGATTTCTTAAACAAAAGAGTGAAAAAATAATTCTAAACAAAAGTCCAAAAGAGAATAATGATTGATGACAATAATGATTACCATGACGATGACGGCCAACAGACAATATTCAAACTCACTCACCACACAGCTGAACAGGTAAAACCACGGCCACTGCACATTACCAGAAATGATATCAAACGCATTTAAGGAGCGAGAAATAATAATAAATAATCAACAGAGGTAAAATACACATTATGGCTCCTACACCTTTAACCTTTTAGCAGCTCAGCAACCTCACTGCTGAATAGAGAGCGAATGTTTGTAACTACAGTTCATCTTTAAGTGGCGGTTTCCACAGGATCTGTGTGCTCAGTGTATCGTATCTGAGGGGGTTTTGCTGCGTCCGGTGCCACATGTCCTACCCCACTGGCTCACTTCTGGAGCGTAAGTGTAGTGGAGCAGCTCGACTCGCGGGTTCACAAGATCACACGGGGGCAACCTGCAAACAACAGGTTTCTTTGTCTTTCGACAAGTTGATTTGCTGTAAATTTGGTGCCTGTTTTAACGTAGTGTTGATAAAGTGATGAGATATGCGATCGCTCAGGCGTTTGAACATTGACGGGATTCTTTGTGCGTTCACTTGTCTGACTTCCTGTCCGGGTCGAGCTGCTAAGTTCAGCTTGACGTGTGCCTGCAGTGTGGGATCAGGCCGAAAAATTGACTCTGTGTGTGTTTGGAGTGGAAGATAGCGGAGTGACGCCGATACGCGACAGAGACCGACCGCAGCTTGTTAATTGATAACACTAGGATCGAGTAGAGAGGAGGCGATCAGCTCCGGAGTCCGCTGTGCAGAGGGAACGCAACGCACACAGGTCCTGTGGAAACTGCCAGTAATTAGTAATTAGTAATTAGGCTTACATTTAGTGATACTATTATTGCTATCAGTTATTACACTTAATTACCTTGCCCATAAAAAACGGGTTCATGAGACGATTATGATCAACAAGTCACCGTGCGAGAGTTGAGCAGAGTGTAATGTTGATCATGGTCAGCAAAGTGCCAGCAATTATGATAAGAGGCGGACTTTACTCAGGTTACAGAACAGAACAGCATTGGAAAGCAAAAAAAAAGAGAACGGAATCATTTCAAGGTTTGATACAGGTAAAGCATGTACCAGCAGTTATTCACTCATATGTCATTTCAAGCATGTGTGTTTAAGAATTGTTTTTTTTTTTTTGCTTATAATCCTGATTAAGAATGTAATGGTAACATATTGGGGCCCTATCGTACACGGCGCAAAGCTCAGCCTGACGCTGTTGTCATCTTAACACCCGGTGCTCTCCTTGTTTAAAGCTGAAGAGGTACTTGTTTCCAAGTACTCCTCCGTGCACGCTCGCTCCAATACCAACACATGCAGAAGTACACACACTCGCATACTGATAACGCCACTGATAATTGAGCCTACAGATATGAATACAGACTGTCTGGTGTCAAATATGCGCGCATTAGATAATACAGACGAGTATTCGAACAGAGAAAAATCCGGAAATAAATGTTTACAGCCTACCTTTTATTTGATATTTAAAACACAGAACATTAGTTCACAAAAATCCTTTGCGATCTTGTTGGTGTGTGCGGAGGTTTGAACAATTAATGAGGATACGTTTTGTGCTTCATGCAGAAATATTCACCTTGTCTTTCTGATCGTTTCTGATTGTGGGAATAATTCAGTGAAATATAACTTCAATCTGCCTTCAATGTATTTCACACAGTGTCCTGTGTGTTCAGGGACACGATGAAAGGAGAGAAGTTCAATGAGCCGGCCTGAGGTCGGTCTAATTAAGAGTAACTGTAACCCGCCAGCCTGCGGGTTCTAAAGGGGATGAGGGGGAACACTGATTCGTTTGGACCATGTTACACCCACAGCACACCTACAGTATGTCTCACCAAGGGACTTAATCCAACCTCTTTGCGCTCTGCGTCCAGATTGTGCACCGCTTGAAAACCAAAATATAGTCGGCCACGCCCCAAATCGCTGTGCGCCTCGTGCTTTACGCCGTCAAAATAGGGCCCATAGACTTGTAACACTGTGATCACTGAATGACTTGTTCCAACTGGACAGAAAGATACTGCAGCTTTTTCCCAACTTGTGCTTTCTGAACTTTCTGCTGACAGAGTTCTGTCAAACAGGCTTCCCGAGCACAGATTCTAGACAAAGCTACCGAGTACATCCAGTACATGAGGCGAAAAAATCACACCCACCAGAAAGACATCGACGACCTTAAGAAGCAGAATGCACTATTGGAGCAGCAGGGTAAGAGGAACTTTTCAAACTTTTTTTTTTTTCTTTTAGTTTTTTTTGTGGTAGTGTTTACTACTCTATTTATGGTATTTTTGTAGTTCGTGCACTCGAGAAGGCCAAGGGGAACACTCAGCTCCAGACAAACTACTCTTCTGACAGCAGCTTGTACACAAACCGCAAAGGGAGCGCGGTGTCCGCCTTTGACGGCGGGTCTGACTCCAGCTCCGAATCAGAGCCAGACGAGCCGCCCAACAGAAAGAAGCTGCGCGTGGATCCCAGCTAGACTCGGTCTGGTTCTCCAAACAGACTCTTTTTTGGCCCCACCAGCTCTTCCCAACCCCCCCGCCTCCCTGACTCCTCCTACCTACTCAGTTCTGCCATCTTACGCCAATCCAGGAGGTGAGGTGGAGGCAGTGTGAGAGAGGTGCTCTTATGTACAAATAAACGCTTCTACCTTCCCTTTTCCTCCTGGCAAGCATCCCTGCCACTCCTTTGTGTGGCCCAGCAACATCTCTAAGACCCCCCCACAGTGAGGCAGCTCTGCAGTTTTGAAGGACTTTACGCTTTTCAAACCTCATGGTAACCTTTCATAATCAAATGAGGAGATGACGTGTAATGAGGCTTTAGTAAAGCTACATACAATGAAAAGTTTCTTTTCTTTGTTGCAGTTGTGAGACTTTACTACCTTTGACAAAAACTTCAATTAGGGATAGTTGACCTTTATAATATTCGTACTTTTCCAGGAAAGAATGTGAAGTTGCGTTTTTGAAAAATGTCTGTAATGCAAAATGCACCCCTCCTCATTCGTTGTAGGTGGCTCAAGTTTTTGTCCTTGAAAATGTTTGTGTAATCAAATGAACCCTTCTATTTATAGTGATGCACCAGAATTGGTTTCTAACCGTGATGTCTGATCTCCTTCTGTTTGGCCTAAGATTCTCCAGAGGACACTGGAGGATGAAGAAGTTGACCTGCTGTTTGAGTGGCTTTAACACGGGTCCAGCAGTTTATTGTCCTCTATTTTTATGATCACCAGATTAAATGTGGGTGTAAAAAAAAAATGAAATAAAAAAATCCCCTAATGGATGCTGAATGTTACGCAATGCAGTTCACGGATAGTGACCTTTTATTTTTGTTAATGGAAGTCCTTCTCAGTGTGTTGTATATAACACTGTATACTCTTACATGGTGTCAGCTCTGCAAAGAAAAGCCTTCCCTTGAAATATTTGCCTGTGCTGGGAATGTTAATCTTTCTTTTTTTCCTTTTTTCAGAGGTAAAGTTAGTGTGTATGTAATCAATATTTGTTTGTTCCATTCCGTGGAAATTACAGGTATGTTGTACATACTGCCAACGGTTGTCTTGCAAGTTGAGGCATACCTTTATTATGAAACTATAAATAAAAATATTTTATCCTTTTGGGATGTATTTTTGACTCAACCTGTTTTTAATAAAATCACATCATAAATGTTTGAATTTGTTTAGAGGGAAACACGAGTGATGTAATGAACTCAGTCCCAATACAATGTGTTAAAAAAAGCAGCTTCTAACTTTAGTCATTGAAGTTATATTATTGAATTAATCAAACAAATTATGTCTTTATATAGCACCTATAATACAAATTAACATTCACTAAAGTGAATGACGAAAAGTAGTTTGAAAAATCATTTAGACTAATGCACACCAATAAGAATTTAATAAAATAAAATAAAGATAAAAAAATTAATAAAAAGACAAGACAAAAAAGATAATAAAATGTATTACATACAAACATTTAAAATTGTAAAATAAAAAGACAATAACAAAGTAAAAATACACATTAAAAATAAGATTCTAAAAATTACAGTTTAAGTAAGATAAATAAAATAATCACTTTGATAATAAATAAAAAGAAATAATTTAAAAACAAATTCAACAGTAAGATGTTCATATAAAAATATGAAGTAAATAAATAATAGGCATAATAAAGCACTACCAAAAAGCCAGACTGAATAATTGAGCTCATAAATGTCAATGTTCTCGGCTCCTCTCAGATCCTCTGGAAGTGTTAATAACCTAAAATCACCTTAAGAGAGGTTATCTGGTGCAAGGCCATGTAGTCATTTATAAACGTATAAAATAATTATAAAATCAATACGAAAATTAACAGGCAGGTCAGTGTCAAGATTTTAAAACAGGTGTAATGTGGACTCTTCTTCTGGTCTTTGTCAGTACTCGTGTAGCAGAGTTTAGTATTTTGTTGCACCTGATTTGTTTCAGTATAATGGTTTACAAATCTATCTACATCACTTAATTTGAGTTATGTTTTGTTAAACAATCTTAATGTGCTTTACGGTTACAAAAGTAAGTACTTAAAAAGTATGTGGAGACGTGTTTTTTCATTTAGGTAACCACCAGGACACAATGCATAGAGGACATTTTGGCCTGTGGGAGAGTTACATTTGAGGGGTATTACACATTGGACAGGGTTTTAATGTATGACTTGGATAGTTTAACATATTTTATGATCATTCTATGCCTACATGTATAAAACAATTATTTAAACCAAAAACACCCGCTGGCACTGTAGAGCAGTGGTTCCCAAAGTTCGGCTTGTGAGATTTAGGCTGAAATTAAAGTGAAATGTAAAAAATCCTTTAAATGTGAGTTTGCACCATAGCCTGTAAATACTGATTATAGGTTTGCACATAACTGCAATAATGTTTGTTGCTGCCTATGAAGAAAAATACACACAGACATCACCTGTGTGTCTGTTTATTCAATTGTGTATGTATACTCAGTGTTACAGTTTATACATGGAGATTACTTGTGTTCTGCAGTAGCCTTTCTGACAATAAATTACTAAAATAGGCATAGTGGGGGTCCCGGGCTGAAATGTTTGGGAACCCCTGGTGTTTAGGACCAGTTAAAACACAAAATGTGAACAGATGATCCATATTTGAATGTACAAGGGATTTGAGCCTTTAGGGGTTAATCAAAAAGTTGTAAAGTGGGTGGGGTTCTTTTTGGGAGTAATTTAGACTTATTATCTCAGTCTTCATAACCTGGTTACTGCTCTGCCTCGTATTGTTCAAATATTGAATTTGGAATCAGCTCATTGATGTGTCCCAGCTGTCACTCCCACTCCATGAAGCAGCCTCTTCAAGGATGCAGGTTTGATGCTGCATTCTGGAGCCGTGGGATATTTCACTGCACATTGCAACATGATGCAGCCTTGTTGATATAGCCTAATTTACTGTTGGCATTATTGATGCAGTGTATAAACTGCACAGTAGAAAGGATGATGGCATGAGAAAAAAAAAAAACAATAATTGGGATGCCTATTATACCTTGAACATTTAACATAAGTAAGCTATCTGTTTGTTTGCTTGCTCAAATATGCCAGCGAGCCGCAAAAAATAACAAATGTATTATTTAGAATATTGCCTTTATTAAACTGCTTTTGCAAAATCATTAGAGTTGTTAGAGTAGTTTTTTTTTTTCTTTTTCTTTTAACAATGTTTCTTTTTTAGGAGCAGGATTTTCCGTGGGACTCTGAAAGCAGCATACAGCAACGGTGCGCGTGAGAAGCTGAGAACATCACCGAGCACAGCTACATGGGAGAGTCATGCTTCTCTCAGGGTTTTAACTTTTGGTCATGGCTAAACAGTACGACGTGTTGGTCAGGTTGCTCATGCTCGGAGATTCGGGTGTTGGGAAGACCTGTATGCTGCGCAGGTTCACGGATAGTGAATTTAACCCTACACACATTTCCACCATCGGTAAGTCATTCAACAAGGTTTCACCTGCTTTTCACTGACGTTTGTGAAGAATCATTATAGGGCTGTGTTAGTCCCCTCCTTTAATCCGTTACTCTGCCTCAAGTTTGGCTGAATAAACGTCGTAGCTGGGACATTTTTTATTGTAGTTTCCTTTTGTTGAAAGTTTTTGAAGCAGGCCTATTTTGCAAGTAGGATTAGTGCAAAGTGCCCCAGGCCATAACAGCCCTGAAACTAACAGGAGAACCTGTCAGTGGAAAGTCAGCTATACAAATAGAGACCATGCTAACACAATTACGATTTTAATAAAGATATATATTAAACTTATGACGTGTGAGAGGTCTGAGACAGCAGGTCTGATAGATGTGCAACAAAAACAATGTTAAGGAAGTCTAATAGTTAAAAAAACAACACATAAAAACAACAATTCTGACATTTTCATTTCTGTGCCATCATATTGTTTGTTATTTTATCCCTTTGTTTATCACAGTAGTGACACTTTGTGGATCCATCTGTTCGTTCAGTGCTTCACCTCAGTGCTGCCTCTTTTCCTGACTTTGTGGTCGACCGATGACTTGGAGGAATGAATTGTGAGGCTGCTTGAAATGAAACAAGAAGAATTCTCTTCCTCTTCAACACAGAAAACAATCACCACATGCCGCCATGTTAGGCAGCATACAGTTTGTTGTGACTGGAGTTTAGAGGGGAGCTTTATTCAGGTTAGACGGTGTTTGAGGTGAAGCTGGATTGTGGGAAAGCTTTATGGAATTAATCAAAGTTATTTGACCATGTGCTTATTCATCTGATTTTCTACTAGATCCATTGTGTTGTGGTATGAGAACATTAGACTGGCTCCTCCAGTCTTGCATCATCAATTAGTCCCTCAACAGGGATGCTTATTTCACATCCGTGTTTCTCCCACAGGCTGCAGCGATGGAGAAAACCAGCAGCATTAGAATAAGAAATACTGTGAGATCATTACAAGAGGAACTTTTTCTGATTCACTGGGAGCCCTACTTCCAAATCAATAATGATAATTGTTAAAACTTAGGTTTTTAATGGAGTCATTCACCTTTCATGGTGTCACCTGACCAACTGCATGCTTTGTGCTCAAAAGGAAGTACAAGTGTAGGTGCAGAGCATTGTGTTGTGGAGCGTAAATGATCAGTTGATGCATTTATTATTGACTATAGGCCCTCTTTCAGTTCACTGTTACACTGTCATGGCAGAGCTGTTGTTAAAGTTACGAGCCTATACAGTATGCGCTTATATGCTACGACTTCAAATCGTGAAACCTCTTGGGAATAATATAGCAAATATTATTTGTGTTGTTTAGTATAATGAAGAATATCTAGCTTTAAAGAGTAGGATACTTCAGTCTAAACATGTGTTTTTTAGAATATACACAGCATGAAGAATAGAAATGACTTGTCACACTGTCACATGGTCATGTCTGATTGGGACAGTTTAACAGAACAGAGCCGTTGTTAATGTTATTATCAATAAATCAATTATTATTTGTATCGCGCCAAGTGCTATCTCTAGACGCTTTACAAAAGAGTAGATGTGATAATATGCAGGCAGGACTTCTCCTTTGTATTCCTTGCGTTCCTGTTGTCCACACTTCTAATATGACAAATTCAAATCCCTGGGAACATAATAGTAGTGTATAGTCATAAACTGTTTTGGATAAACAACTAAAGTAAAGAATAATACATTATAAAATGTGTTATCTGTTTGCAGCAAATAGCATGAAGAATATAAATGAATGTCTCACTGTTACATGGTCGTGTTTTAATGGGACAGAGCCATTGATGATGTCGTTATTAGCACGCGTGCTTTTCAACTACGGCTGAAATAAAATCAGTGGATTCATCATTTTATCATATAATATAGCATTTATGGTTCATTAAAATAGCTTGTAGGGTAAATAACATTAAAAAAATAATAGTACGGGGGCGCTTGTGTCCGAGTGGTTGAGGGCATGTGTCCCATGTTCAGAGGTCGAGTGCCGGCCCGGGTTCAAATCCGACCTATGGCTCTTTTCCCACATTCCCTATTCTCTCTCTCTCTCTCTTTGTCTCTCATTTCCGACTCTATCCACTGTCTATCTCTAAATAAAGGCATTAAAAAAAAACAAGTCTTTTAAAAAAAGTACCATACAACAGGACAGAGATTTAAAGCATCTTTTATTTACAGTATTCAGCATTAACAATATAAACCAATATGTTGCTGTCACACTGTCATAGCTAAATGGGACCCTTGAACGGAACAGAGCCATTGTTAATGTTATCACGGCATGTTCTTGTTGAACTATTGTAAGTCAAATCTCTGTGACATGGTCAGTAGAGATTACTCTTTGTAAATGCTCTGCCCTTTATTCTATAATATAATATGTTTAGGACTTATTACTTTAAACATAGGAGAGAAACGTCCCTGTAGACCTTTCACACATCTTACATGTACGATAAACAGAATATGGTAGGTAATTGATTGACGATGGTACACAGTATCTTGTCTTTTCTTACATAGAAACTGATGAACGGATCGAAAGTGATTAATTCCTGTTGTTGACAATCAAGTTAGCTCTCTTGTCGGGTAACAAACAGGTAAAAACATCACTTTGGTTAACATAAGGATACATTATCATTTTAGAGTCCGCACGATGCAGTGAGTGAGATTAATTAAGGCTCATAGTGTCTGTGAACAACACTCATTGAAGGCCCCACAAACACTTAGTTTCCATGACGGCGTTTTCAGTGTGGTTGACCTTTCTTCTTTTATTTTGTGTAGGAGTTGACTTTAAAATGAAAACACTAGACATAGATGGAGTCAAGGTGCGAGTTCAGATATGGTAGGTAAAGTGATTTATGTATATTTGATTACATTAACAGTATGCTAATGTACAAATGAATGAATGATCCTCCTCTGCTGATGCATTTTTGTCACTTCTTTTGAGCAGGGACACAGCTGGTCAGGAGCGTTATAAAACCATTACCAAACAGTACTACAGGAGAGCACAGGTGATCCCTTTAAATGAGTCATGATATAGGAGTCATGTTACATTCAGTCACTGATACATTCATTCTTTAAATGTTGCTCTTTTTTTGAATCGTCATCCAGGGCATCGTCTTCGTCTACGACATCACAAACAGGCTGTCCTTTCAGCACCTGGCCATGTGGGCCAGCGATGTGGATGAAGTAAGACAATAAGCACCCTTGTTAAGCCCTCTTGCACTTGTAACTCTTCAAAGTCATCCAGTATTTGTATAACCTCTCATCACTGTTGAGTTTTATGGTTTTCGAATGAGTGACATGATGAGGCCTTTTATCTGGGTGCTGTCTGTCATGTCCTCTTTTCTTTTTTTTGTGTTTGTAGTTTGCTCCAGTGAAGGTGCAGAGGATATTGGTTGGAAACAAAGCAGATGATGAGCCCAGTAGGCAGGTGTCAAAGGACCAAGGAAGCAAGGTTGGTTTGAACCGTTTATTTTTTTTATTTTGGTCTACTTTAGTCTATTTTATGTTCTCTTGAAAAAAGATGTAGTTTTGTATTTAGGTATATTTTTGTTTTGTTTAATATCCTCTAAAGCAATTATTAAATAATGTCCATAAAAAGACACATGTTGGGCTTTAACTTTACTTTAACACCATCCCAAATCATGTGGAGGTACATCCTGATAATGATTTTTGGGCTTTTTATGCCGTTATTTGGAGATAGGACAGTGGATAGAGTCAGTAACCCAGGTCCTCGCTTGGAGCCTCCATACATGGGGCACGCACACTAACCCCTAGCCTAGGTTAGATTAGATTAGAAAATGTTATTGATCCACAGCGGGGAAACTCATTTGCCACCTGGTCAATTCAAACACACAACAAACATCACAGACAGTATACAATACAGTACGGTGCCCCACATATCGGACATCATCTGACGGCGCCGATCCACACCACCGCTCAAGGAAGATCTTTGGGCACTTTAAACATTCTCAACTCGCACGGTCTGGCTTTGAAGACATTCAGACTGAACTGCACAAATCGTCTCCATGACAACGTTAAGAAGAGATGGAACGGCTCAATTCCTTACACGTCACTTTGAAATATTTAATTTGAAAACCTTTCAGTTGTTGCTGCTTCCTGTTTGTATGTGAAGCCAGCACAATGCAATGCAATTCTGGCAATTTAGTACAGCTTTGTAAAGTCTTGCACGTAATACCAACAGCATCAATAACACAATCAATTATGATCAAAATAGAATCGGATCGGAACAGAGCAGCTCTGAAAAAAATGTCCCTACTGACATTTCTGCTTTAATATACAAAGTAAACAATAGAAGCATTTTGGTTGAAGCAAAAACCCTCAGCATAATGCAAGTCACCATGAAACAGAACCTAGAGAGAACTGCTGTGTCGTGTAGTATTTCCAACTGAAACAGGATAGAACCAATCACAAGAAATAAGGCGGGACATAGCTTTGGGATGATCATATTGTTTGCTTGGTTTTTAATTGGTCAAAAGATTAGTAAACGCTCAAGAGTGCAGGATGAGTCACCAGACATTGAAACATTTTACAGGAAGTACAGGATGTAAAATCACTCAGGGAATGCTTTATTGAAATATGTTTGGCAGAAATTGAACATTTAACACAGGACTCTGGATTAAAACCAGGAACGTGTATTTTTCATTTCATGGGGACAACAAGGACAATTTAATATAATTTTAACAAGTTAATATTGTCTTCACTTGTATTTTTGTCTGAATCGTCTTGTTTTTTCATTTAAAGTAGAGACAAAGTGTGTATGGGGAAGGTCTCTGTTTTTCTGTCGTTAAGTTGAACATGGGGTCTTCTTACCCCTCAGTTCATTTAGTTGTAATAAAAACTTACCTAACCTGAAAATGCCTCTGTTCTATGTTCTATCATATCTACCTGGGTCATGCAGCTAGCAGAAAATTATGGGATGGACTTCTTTGAGACCAGTGCCTCCACAAGTACTAACATCATTGAGGTAGGCATTTCAAAATAAACATGTTGGGGAACTCCCTGCTGCATTTGATTTTATTATCTGTTTGTTTTTCCTGTTCCTCAGGCCTTCACACGAGCGACAGAACTGGTGCTGCAGGCTCACATGCGAGATGTGGACGACTTGCTGGGATCTCTGGATGATTACCTGGATCAGGCTGCTCTGGATGCAGAGAAAGACAATCAAGACACCAATGAAAACACTCGGAAGAGCTGCGCCTGTTGAAAAAAAAAAAAGAAGAAGAGCCACCACAGCACCATGGCTCATGCTAAAAACAATTTCCACTTAGAGAGACAGACTTAGCTCTCCATCTCCTTCCTCAAACGTACCATGACCTGGCTGACTGGGAAGGTGCTCGACTGGTTCCCTTTTGTCAGTTGATACAGTAACATACTGGTAGATGCAGTTAGCAGCAGCAACCAGCAGAGGGCCATTTCTGTTACTTGGTCACTTAACCATTTGAAGAGTGAAGATTTTATCAACATAGCAAGACAGTATCCCTGCACTCATTTCTAACTTTGACAAGTTTTAATATTTTCGTCATTTTCCTTGTTGGAATGCACTTCAATCTATAACTTTACTATATTCCACAATATATGGTAAACTGTTACATTTTAAAATCTAAAACATATTCTTTACACACAGGTTCATTGAAAACATACAGATCTATATTGAAACAACAGCTCAGAAGCTGCAAAAAGACAGATGCTAAAACACAGTCGCCTGTTGATGGTGTTGAATTATTTACACCTCGAAACTCAAACCGAGCACGGGTGGATTCATTTACACAACAGACTTATTTCCTCAAACGAGACAGTGCCTTGTTCAGTGACCTTTCTGAATGGAGTGCATATTTATTTTCCATCCTGAATGTACAGCTTTCCTCTTAATGACTGTGACTTGTCATTGCTTCTTGTATCCTATGCATTCGAGCAGTCTAACTGCAGCTTAGATTAATGTGCCAGGTTTCTGCCAAAGTGCCTTAAATGTGTAATTTTAACTTCAACTCAAGGATGTTCAAATCAAGCCATGGATAAGTTAATAAATTGTGGTGTTTACACATCGTGTATTGGGTGTCCGAGCCTTGAAGAGTCTCTACATTTGAATGGAGAGTGAAGTGAAGTCCTTAGTGAGTTCAAACTGTTGGTTCGTAAATTTTTTATCACCCACTGTGAAGGACTGGTGAGCCTATGTTAGATCTTCATTGATTAGAGAAACCTGATACATGTGATAGAGAGATACCGTGAAGCGAAATACATGCTATAATACATGTGATTTATACTCAGGATTAAAGTTTTATTTGAGAAGAATTCCGTCAATAAACCACTTAAATTCAGATCAGTAAAAAAAAGAGTTCAAACACCTCAAAGTTTAAGAAGTATAGGACAACACACCTCCATTCAATAGAAAAAAAGTTATGTTCGCCCTACTTGTGGTTTTACCAAGCTCTCTGAAAGGTGCGAAGAGTATTGTATTTCAGGCGCAGATCAGTTTCTTTCAGGGCCATTTGACACCCCTGAAAGGCAGCTTTCTTCTTCTGAAGCGGGTCACATGACCAAGCTGTTTGATACAGTCACACGTTGAGATCCTGTCTGCCTCCAAAGTGTCGCAGCAAAGGAGTCGAGATGACGTTCATCGCAAAGACCTTTTACGACTTGAGGGCCACCACGCTGGAGGGAGACTCCATGGATTTCAACGTGTTCAGGGGCCGGGTCGTCCTGATTGAGAATGTGGCCTCGCTCTGAGGCACCACCACCCGGGACTTCAGCGAGCTCAACCTGCTGCAAAGCAAGTACCCTCATCGGCTGGTGGTCCTGGGTTTTCCCTGTAACCAGTTTGGATATCAGGTTAGTTAAACACCATAAAGTCTATACACAATCTGGTAAGAGCTTGTTATATCTGGTTTGACTTGGCTTATTATATCCATTATATTATACTTTAAAAATAGGGTGTTGAGCCTTGGACCTTTATAGTCTTTGCTTATTGATAAGAATGAGTCTTCTTGTATTTGCCACCGAGCAGCTTGATGCAAAGCTGTAGAGGCTATTTGAGCTGTTATACTTGGATTTAAATGATCTGCCTGACACTTTATAGAGGCAGATATTGTTTCTGTTTTGTCATTTCTGTTATATTGAAATTGAGAAGCGGACTATGAACCTTATTGACAATATTTCTGTGGAGCTGGAAATAAAAATGTGTATGAATTCTTGCGTTTTTGCAGGAGAACTGCTCCAATGGCGAGATTCTGAATTCCCTGCAGCATGTGCGTCCCGGCGGCGGCTATCAGCCCAACTTCACCATCTTTGAGAAGTGTGACGTCAACGGCACAAACACACACCCAGTGTTTGCCTATCTCAAAGACAAGCTCCCCTATCCTGATGACGACCCAAAGTCCCTCGTGCAGGACCCAAAGTTTCTGGTTTGGAGTCCCATCAGCAGGACGGATGTCTCCTGGAACTTTGAGAAGTTCCTCATTGGGCCAGAAGGCGAGCCCTTTAAAAGATATAGCAAAAAGTTCCCCACCATTGACGTAGAGCCTGACATTCAAAGACTGCTGAGATTAACCAAGACCTAAGAATAGCCTATACCTCTTTACGACTTCTCTTCCATCACGCTCAAAACTGATATGCTGTCCTCCACACTTTTAAGCCTTATTAAATGATGGTGATATTCTAAAAGCTATGAATGTTATCTGATGCTGTATAAGTGCTTAAGAGTAGTGGAGGAATGAATTCAAAATATGTGACCGGAATTTTATTGTGATATGAAAGTTTGAACGTGGGTATACTTAATAGAAATTACCACTTTTAGGAGGTTACTTCCTTTTGAATATCCTTTTGTTCCTGTCAGTGACCAGCAGATGGCGCTGCTGACTTGATTAAACATGTGTACCTTCTATCATGCATTAACAAATTAACATTCCTCTCACACACACACACACACACACACACACACACACACACACACACACACACACACACACACACACACACACACACACACACACACACACACACACACAGAGAGAGACTCACACAATGTTTGCACTGGAATAAAACCCTAAAAACAACAATTCTCTCTCACTGTGTGATTTAATGGAACCGTGTATATTGAGCTACTATAAAGACTTGTGCCTCTTGTACAAGGTTGACTAATATATATATGTTGTGTCTGGAACAGGTCTGTGTGAGCATAGTAATGTGGCTTGAAATACATTTGAAAGGTATGGAATTATGATGGTATCATTACATACTTAAACTCTTACTTCAATAACTTATAAGGCACCCCTCTGCATAATGCATCCCCCAGCCTGCTGATTCACCGTTAGTGTTTATTTTATCAGCATCTCTGTGTAAGAGTTGCTGATACAAGTTGCCAAATATTGCAGGAATGTTGGCAACTTTTAATGAGCTCTCATCCAGCTTTAATTTCCTATGCACAGTTTGCCTTGCTTGCAAGGTCTGCAGATAAGCAGTGGATTTTCTGCACATCCGCTCCTATTCACATCAGCGGCTGATGATGTCATAGCCACAGGCAGTGCCCTGGTATGTTTAGCAGGTTGCTGCAGGGACAACATTGAAACAACCTGCCACCAGACTCTCTTACGTCTACATGTAGAAACCCTGAGTCACTCTTTGCATTTCATATTTACAGATATGTGTTGTTACGACACAAGGGCACTTGATTAATATATATCATAAAGGATTGCTGGTCTGTGGTTGACAGTCAGGTAAGTATTATTGCTTATAAGAAGCAGCAAATACAAGAGGAGGACTTTCAGGGACCTCTCCTCCACCCCTCCACTGCTCCTCTACTCACAGTTTGTGGAAAAATTACCTCCAAAGATCCTTATGTTGGTGTAATGAATTACTCGATCAAATGCTTTATAATAATGCAGGCTGTTGATCAAATTGAAGATAAAATAAACTCAACTAACCACACTTTAATACAATAATGCAATATAACACAAAACAGAATTGTCATTAAGTGTTTACTAAAACTTAATTAAAATTCAGTATTATACAGCAAGTCTATAAATGTGTATTCTGTCTTCAAAACAACATCACGGCAGTCAGAAGCGAAGAACTACCCCCCTCCTTAAACGAAAGGCTATATTTTGTTAATATTTGAATGTTTTTCTGAGCACCATGTTGTTTCTGCAATCTTTCTTAATGACTTCTTTGTACCTGCACTATCTGTCTTTGATATCTAGCTGTAACAAATTATATATGTACTGCCCTACAAAGGCAAAAGGCAGTAACTTCAATTTTTTCAAAAATTAGTTTTTGTCAGTTTTGGAACATTACAGATGTACTTTATTATGTGGACAGATATCTTGAGTCAATTGTGTTTTTGTTTTTTTTGAGAAAATAGTAGGTTGTATTTGCCTTAACTTCCAAAAGCCCTCGAGAAACCATGGCAGAGTCCTGTAACTTCACTTTTAAGGGTCTTTGCCTTTGTACTGCAGCATTCCAGAATGCTCAAATTGAGTTAAGGTCTTCTGCCTTTGTTTTAATATCTGTCATCAAGCACTTCTGACACACACAGCAGCTTGACTAAAGTGTTGCAAAGAAATAGTGTTGGTTGTGTTATTTTAACAATGCAACCAAGTGAAATACAGTATCAAATGGAAGTTAATGCCTTTGTCCTTGGCATGACCCGTTATTATTGTACAGGCAATGCAAAGGCAGAGTACCTTAACTTCCAAATAAGGGTCAAGGGTCATGTTTGAGCTAAAGATTTTTATGAACATTAATAACCTCATTAAAAAAGACAAAGAATTGCCACATTTCCAATATTCTGCCTGCAACTCATTTGGCTGGACAACAAAAAGACTTTGAAGTCATTTTTCTTAGTTCTACACTCTGGTGAGTTAAGGTCTTTTGCCTTTGTAGGGCAGTGTAGTAGGCTTGTCCTAAATAAATAAAAAATACAGATAGCCTAAATAAGAACATTTAAAAAAAAGAAAATCAGTAAGTTGTGGTCAAATTTGAACAGACTTGAACATAGTAAAAAGTAAGTCTATTAGCGTACATAATTCACAACCCATGTTTTCAACACAGAGTGAGAGCTCTTCGTCTGCCCTCATAGCCGTAAAACACACTACAGGTGAGCACTGTTGCCACGGAAACGTTTGCTTTCCCCACGTTTGCCCTTCTCTCGCGAGACTCCGGGGCAGAGTGAAAGAGAGAGAGAGAGTGAGCAAAGAGTGGGGAGACTGCCTGAATGATCTCATCTCTCCTGCAGCTGCATAGCGCAGCGAGGCAAACACGTAACTTTCTATCAAACTTCCAAGTTGCCTTTCGGAGGAGGACACCCGGAGCATTTTCGGGTTTGAAACGGAGCGGACTCGTTTCCCCGCGGAGGTAAGGGAAAAAAACAAAAAGCGCTGCGCAGTTTGTGTATCGGAGTTAGCGATTAAGACTTGAGTTGAAACAAAAGGAGGAAAACCCGCTTCGTATTGTGTGACACCTAAAAAGCTTGAGATAGAAAGTAGAAAAGGTGAGTCGTTAACGCTGTGCAGGGAATAGTTCGTGGTACAAGGTGTCTTCACACAACATCTGTCGGCTGTCTGTGGACAAAGCATGTCATTGTGCCATGTGAAGGTGCAGTGTTGAGCCAGCAGGCAGTGAGAGCCACTGTTTTTTTTGTTTTTTTTAAACTAATGGGGTTGGTGGTAGACGAAAAAATGTCTCTACTCGACATTCAGTGGGCTGTCAAAATGCATGTAAACGCTGCGTCGTTGTAGCTATATGTCAAGGGCATTGTTCACAGCACTGCTTTAGGAAGACGTTTCACAGGTGGTATCGTGCACTAAACCCTACGACATGTAACTTCAAATGTGTAGATGTCACCTTGTGAAGCCATAGGGAAAAAACCCTTATTTCACCAGGCTATGGTGTTGCCTGCTACTCGAGGGGAGATCACGGACAGGTGATTTCCTCGTGCCACATCTGCCTGAGCCCTGAAAAGCTATAATGGTTTGTCCATTGCCTGGTGTTGTTCATCGCCTTTTAGCAGATCAAGTCAAGCCTATTGTATGTTTAGCCTAATCAATATTGCAATTTAAAATATTGTTCTGCAACAAGATGTCTATCCATTGTACCCCTAATATTCAGCCAGCTAAAACCCTCACCCTCAATCAGACCGGTACAGGAATAGGCTACTCATAACAACAATCATGGCACTTTGATAAAAGATGATCTGGCAAAGCACGGGCAATATGCAAACAGAGATGTGTTTAGATAGCAAGGATCAAGCATAAACTGTGCCAACCTGTCCAAAGTACAAACATATGCAGGATTGTGTGCTAGACTGGCATATTTACATAATATCATGTATCAAACCAGGCCCCCCCCCCCTAGCTCCTAGCAACCTGCTCCTGTAGCAGTGCTTATTGGATAACTTGGCATGAGTCAGGTGAATTAATAGGAAGCTTTGAGTTCGGCTTTGGACAGAGATCAAGGATTTGTAGCATTCTTGATAGGCTTAGCTGACCTGGCATGACTGATCATAGAGCCGCACTGCCATTTCTTTAAAAAAAAAATTTTTACCAAGTGAGTCTAATCTCAGCTTTGTCTCTAAATCGTTGCTATTACTCAAACTGGAATGCATCTTGCTTTCTTTGATTGGATTAATCTCATGCAAAATCAGCAGGTTTATATCACTATCTGGGAAAGCATCCATTCTGTTATAATCCGCCACAGTGGGCCAACAAGTCTGTGATGTATGCTGCAGCAAAACTAGTGTTACAGGAAAAGAAAAATAGTCAAGGAAAACCACTCTGTGACACTTGTAAGTTTGCAAGATGAAGTGCAAATATTCGTTTTTTTATTCTGCATTTTCATGCAACTTTAACATGATCGTTCCAAAAGAAGAAATGCTTCTCACGTTTCTCATCGCCATTAACAGTCCTCCCCATGCTTTATTACTGAAGAACAGTGTTTCCATTTCCACCTCTTTGCATCATCTCTTTGAACAATACCAGTTGTTTTTACTGTCGTTCGTCGTGGACTCTTTTAAAGGTGCCCACACAGTGACATAGAGACGCTTCCTGTTGCTAAGTTGAGCATATGCTTCTATTGTTTCTTGTGGGCTGGCTCGCAGGGAATAGCTGGAGCAAAGATAAAAGACGACAACAAGCGGAGCATTGTACTGCTTCATAATTTGCCGCTCTGGAATGTGTCGGCTGTAATTATGCTAAGTGGCCATCACTGAATGCCTAAATTAACTGTTTACATGTTTAATGACAAATGAGATTTATATTTATTGTTGTTGGTTCTTTAATGGCCTTGGTGTCTAAAGAAGGCTATGGGCAGGCTCTTTACAGTTTCGAGTGCTACTTCTTTGTTACCTTGACCAGTGGCGAATCTAGAGTCTGTTGGGGCCCTAGGCAAAAATTAATTGGGGGGGGGGGCCCCTCTAATCACTTTAATATTTACCAGTGTCCTGGCGCACTTCCTCTTTCTTTCTTTATTCCCAGGCAGACAATTCCTCTTCATATTCCTTCAGTGATTTTCATTGACAAACTTTGGCTTTGGCTTGAGTTGTTAAGCAGGGCAGTGAGATTGAGTGCTGTCAGATGGAGCCCCCATTAGGGAGGTTTCTTACTGTCATTGCAAAATTTTCACATTTTGAGCTACAACTGTGGTTTAAAGTTTGTCAGCCCTCAGGTGCCCCCAAGTGGCCTGGAGCCCCAAGCCGCTGCCTGCCTTGCTTGTTGACAAACTAGCGCCTCTGCTCTGACCATGACAAAGTTTCATGATTTTGACATGATCTTCCATCCTAGCTATTGATTGCTCTTTTTAGACATTTACAGCTATGCTGGCTTACTGGCTGTTAAGCACACACCCCTTTCACACACAACTTCTTGTCCCTGATGACGGACTAGAGGACAAACTAAACAGACCTTCAGATATGTCCCTGGGTGA